CTACACTGTGCACTCGCCGATGCTGCTCTATCCTCTGTCGGTTCATCCCATGGGTACTAGTATATTAGTGTAGTGCAGTATTGTAGTTGTAGTTGTTGTATAGCAGTATCCAATGTGGTGTTGTAGTATAATGTAGTAGTGTAGTTATTGTGTCTCAGTATGCTATGTGTAGTTGTAGTAGTAACGTTGAGTACAGTTTGTTAGTGTTAGACAGGGTTTCTAGAGTAACAGCTGTACCTATAGTTGTCATACTCGGTTGCTATTGGTTGTTTCATGTTGTGCCACAGTAAGTGTAATGTTGTAGACAGTTTAGTTGTAGTTGTAGTAACATGTTAGGTACTGGTGGTGTAGTACGTGTAACATGTTAGTAACTGTCGTATCAGACTGTTGTATGTATGTTGAGAGCCTAGTAACGTTATTACAGTTAGTTAGTACATGTTAGTACTGTCTAGTGCAGTAACTCTATGTGGTCAGTAGTGCTTACCTGGTTGTGTACTGATAGTGTGCACAGTTACCTTCTAAGTTAGTAATGTGTAGTACATGTCATGCAAGCAGTGTAGTAGTAATGTTGTAGTTAGTATGTAGTCACTGTAGACTTATGTTAGTAAGTAACGTTTGTTGTCGTGTAGTACGTAGTTACAGTTGTACAGTAGTGTCACAATTGTATAACAAGTTGTAACGTTAACATGTAGTAACAGTTAGTGATACGTAGTTCACAGTCGTAGTGTTCAGAGTGTCAACAGTAGTAGTATCATTAGTAGCCTATCTATAGTCTCTATGTAGTTCATCGTTATGTCAGTACGTGTCAATTTACGTAAGTTGTACAGTAGTAGTAAGATGTTACTTAGTAGTAACATTATTAGTAACAGTTCAGTAGTAACATTGTATAACTAGTGTAGCTAACCTAGTAGTATTCAGTAGTGTACAGTATTTAGAACAATGTAGTTACATGTAGTAACGTTAAATAGTAGTCAGTGATCAGTATTGTGTCACAGTTAGTAGTCTAACTAGTTTAGTTAACAGTAGTAGTGAACAGTAGTAGTAACCAGTAGTAGTAGTAACAGTAGTCAGTAGACATGTAGTAAGTCAGTAGTAGTACAGTAGTAGTAACAGTAGTAGTAACAGTTAGAGTGTACAGTGTCAGTAGTAGAACAGTTAGTAGTACAGTAGTAGTAACAGTAGTAGTAACAGTAGTAGTAACATAGTAGTACAGTAGTAGCTCAACAGTAGTAGTAATGATAGTAGTAACAGTAGTAGTAACATAGTAGTAATAGTAGTAAAGTAGTAGTAACAGTAGTAGTAGACAAGTAGTAGTAACAGTAGTAGTAGACAGTGTAGTAACAGTAGTATAAGTAGTAGTAAGAGTAGTGTCAGTAGTAGAAAGATTAGTAGTAACAGTAGTAGTAACAGTAGTAGTAACAGTAGTAGTAACAAGTAGTAGTACAATCAGTAGTAGTACATAGTAGTAACAGTAGTATATACAGTAGTAGTAACTAGTAGTAGTAACAGTAGTAAGTAAATAGTAGAAAGTAGTAGTAACAGTAGTAGTAACAGTAGTAGTAACAGTAGTAGTAACGTGTAGTAACATAGTAGTAACAGGTAGTAACAGTAGTAGTAACAGTAGTAGTAACAGTAGATAACAGTAGTAAAAGTGTAGTAACAGTAGTAGTAACAGTAGTAGTAACAGTAGTAGTAACAGTAGTAGTAACAGTAGTAGTAAAAGTAGTAGTAACAGTAGTAGTACAAAGTAGTAAAGTAGTATACACAGTAGTAGTAACAGTGATAGTAACAGTAGTAGTAAATATAGTAACATAGTAGAACAGTAGTAGTAAAAGTAGTAGTAACAGTAGTAGTAACAGTAGTAGTAACAGTAGTAGTAACAGTAGTAGTAACAGTAGTAGTAACAGTAGTAGTAACAGTATAGATAGTAAACATGTATAGTAGTGTAACAGTAGTAGTAAGCAGTATAGTAACAGTAGTAGTAACAGTAGTAGTAACAGTAGTAGTAAAAGTAAAGTAGTAGTAACATAGTAGTAACATAAGTAAAAGTAGTAACAGTAGTAGTAACAGTAGTAGTAACAGTAGTAGTAACAGTAGTAGTAACAGTAGTAGTAACAGTAGTAGTAACAGTAGTAAAAAGTAGTAAACAGTAGTAGTAACAGTAGTAGTAACAGTAGTAGTAACATAGTAACAGTTAGTAACAATAAAAAGTAGCAACAGTAGTAGTAACAGTAGTAGTAAAGTAGTAGAACAGTAGTAGTACAGTATAGTAACAGTAGTAGTAACAGTAAGTATAGTAACAGTAGTAGTAACAGTAGTAGTAACAGTAGTAGTAACAGTAGTAGTACAGTAGTAAATAGTACAGAGTGACAGTGTAGTAACAGTAGTAGTAACAGTGTAGTAACAGTAGTAGTAACAGTAGTAGTAACAGTAGTAGTAGATAACAGTAGTAGTAACAGTAGTAGTAACAGTAGTAACAGTAGTAAACAGTAGTAACAGTAGTAGTAACAGTAGTAGTAACAGTAGTAAGTATAGAACAGTAGTAGTAACAGTTAGTAGTTAACAGTAGTAGAACGTAGTAGAACGTAGTAGTAAACAGTAGATAACATAGTAGCATTTAACGAGTAAACAGTAGTAGTAACAGTAGTAGTACAGTAGACAAAGTAAGTAGTAACAGTAGTAGTAACAGTAGTAGTAACATAGTGTAACAGTATTTAACAGTATAGTAACATAGTAACAGTAGTAACAGTAGTAGAACAGTAGTAGTAACAGTAGTAGTAACTAGTATAACAGTAGTAGAACAGTAGTAGTAACAGTAGTAGTAACAGTAGTAGTAACAGTAGTAGTAACAGTAGTAGTAACAGTAGTAGTAACAGTAGTAGTAACAGTAGTAGTAACAATAGTAGTAACAGTAGTAGTAACATAGTAGTAACAGTATAGTAACAGTAGTAGAACAGTAGTAGTAACAGTAGTAGTAACAGTAGTAGCAACAGTAGTAGTAACAATAGTAGTAACAGTAGTAGTAACAGTAGTAGTAACAGTAGTAGTAACAGTAGTAGTAACAGTAGTAGTAACAGTAGTAGTAACAATAGTAGTAACAGTAGTAGTAACAGTAGTAGTAACAGTAGTAGTAACAATAGTAGTAACAGTAGTAGTAACAATAGTAGTAACAGTAGTAGTAAACGAAGTAGTAGTAACAGTAGTAGTAACAATATAGTAGGTAACAGTAGTAGTAACATAGTAGTAACAGTAGTAGTAACAGTAGTAGTAACAGTAGTAGTAACAATAGTAGTAACAGTAGTAGTAACAATAGTAGTAACAGTAGTAGTAACAATAGTAGTAACAGTAGTAGTAACAATAGTAGTAACAGTAGTAGTAACATTAGTAACAGTAGTAGTAACAATAGTAGTAACAGTAGTAGTAACAATAGTAGTAACAGTAGTAGTAACAATAGTAGTAACAGTAGTAGTAACAATAGTAGTAACAGTAGTAGTAACAATAGTAGTAACAATAGTAGTAACAGTAGTAGTAACATTAGTAACAGTAGTAGTAACAGTAGTAGTAACAGTAGTAGTAACAATAGTAGCAACAGTAGTAGTAACATAGTAACAGTAGTAGTAACAATAACATAGTAGTAACATAGTCTAGTAGTAACATTAGTAACAGTAGTAGTAACAGTAGTAGTAACAGTAGTAGCAACAGTAGTAGCAACAGTAGTAGTAACAGTAGTAGCAACAGTAGTAGCAACAGTAGTAGCAACAGTAGTAGCAACAGTAGTAGTAACAGTAGTAGCAACAGTAGTAGCAACAGTAGTAGTAACAGTAGTAGTAACAGTAGTAGCAACAGTAGTAATAGTAGCAACAGTAGTAGTAACAGTAGTAGCAACAGTAGTAGTAACAGTAGTAGCAACAGTAGTAGTAACAGTAGTAACAGCAGTAGTAACAATAGTAGTAACAGTAGTAGTAACAATAGTAGTAACAGTAGTAGTAACAGTAGTAGCAACAGTAGTAGTAACAGTAGTAACAGTAGTAGTAACAATAGTAGTAACAGTAGTAACAATAGTAGTAACAGTAGTAGTAACAGTAGTAGCAACAGTAGTAGTAACAGTAGTAACAGCAGTAGTAATAGTAGCAACAGTAGTAGTAACAGTAGTAGCAACAGTAGTAGTAACAGTAGTAGTAACAGTAGTAGCAACAGTAGTAGCAACAGTAGTAGTAACAGTAGTAGCAACAGTAGTAGCAACAGTAGTAGTAACAGTAGTAGCAACAGTAGTAGCAACAGTAGTAGTAACAATATTAGTAACAGTAGTAGTAACAGTAGTAGTAACAGTAGTAGCAACAGTAGTAGTAACAGTAGTAGTAACAGTAGTAGCAACAGTAGTAGTAACAGTAGTAGTAACAGTAGTAGTAACAGTAGTAGTAACAATAGTAACAATAGTAGTAACAGTAGTAGTAACAATAGTAGTAACAGTAGTAGTAACAGTAGTAGCAACAGTAGTAGTAACAGTAGTAGTAACAGTAGTAGCAACAGTAGTAGTAACAGTAGTAGTAACAGTAGTAGTAACAGTAGTAGTAACAGTAGTAACAGTAGTAGTAACAGTAGTAGTAACAGTAGTAGTAACAGTAGTAGTAACAGTAGTAGCAACAGTAGTAGTAACAGTAGTAGTAACAGTAGTAGCAACAGTAGTAGTAACAGTAGTAGTAACAGTAGTAGTAACAGTAGTAGTAACAGTAGTAGTAACAGTAGTAGCAACAGTAGTAGTAACAGTAGTAGTAACAGTAGTAGCAACAGTAGTAGTAACAGTAGTAGTAACAGTAGTAGCAACAGTAGTAGCAACAGTAGTAGTAACAGTAGTAGTAACAGTAGTAGCAACAGTAGTAGTAACAGTAGTAGTAACATCCTCACTCTGTTTTTAATTTAAAATTTTGTAGATTTCGATAACATCAAAAATTCAGTTTTCTTGATCAGCTTCTAAAAAGCTTCAATTTTCTCCTCCACAGATGAGGATGCTGGAGGACTGTTGGAGATGGAGGGCCAGACCTTCCTCCACCTCCAGTGTGTTGGGGAATACCCCTACAACCAGGAATACCCTTTGGGTATACCAGGGACACCTTCTGGGGTATACTTCCAACGGGGGATGCTGGGGGATCTCCTCCTGAATCTCCAGCATCTCTCCCTCAATTCCCAGTTGGATTCTCCATCAACCTCCAACACTGGAAGTCCTGAGGACTCATCTCCCTCCATTCCTCCATCATTCTACCTCCAGGGTCGCCTCCACCACTCGTTTCTCCCTCATTCTTCATCACTCTCCAACACTGGAGGTTCTGAGGACTCATCTCCCTCCATTCCTCCATCATTCTACCTCCAGGGTCGCCTCCACCACTCGTTTCTTCCTCATTCTGCCTCGCCAACACCATCTCCAACACCCCCGGGTGATACAGTGCGCTGGATTTTACTCAGAATGGGAGAGACAGAGGAAAGTGATAATCAGAGTGAACAGGAAGACTGGATAAAGAGGGAAGCGATAAGACATGATAAACATGACTTGAAAGAAGGAGGAATAAGAAGAGAGAAAGAGAAGAGAAATGAAAAGAAGAGTGGAAGAAGCAAGAGGAGGAGGAGAAAGATGGTAAGCAACGAAGAAGACAAAGAAGAGAGAATAAAGAAGACAAAGACTAAGAGAACAAACAATAAAGCAGGAAAAACAGCCAAAGAAAGAAGAATAACTAGCAAAAAACGTGATAAAGAGGGAGATACAAGAGGGAGAATAACCCACAGGAAAACCCATGTGAAGAAGAGGGAAGGGAAAGACGCAAAACAAACAGGAAAACGGGGAAAGCAACGGGAAATAAAGGAGAAGAAAAGAGAGATTGAACAACAGATAACAAATGCGAAGAAGGAGAGAGAAAGAAGCGATAAGAGCGAGAGAGAGATTATCAGCCTCCCTCTATCCACCCTTAGTAAACACACAGTAATGAGGACGTACACAGGAGACGACAATAAAAATGGAGATAAAGAAGGCAATGAAACTGATAAACAGGGAAGAGGAGAAGGAACTGGCGAATACTCGATAAAGATGGAGACAAAGAAGGGAAAGATAAATAAAGAACCCAAAACGAAAGGGAATAGGAAGAAGGAAGACGAAATAAAGAGGAAGAACCCCAAAGATGATAAATATGACATAGAAAGTCAAGAACGAGAAATAAAGGAGAATAAAGAACAGGAATTAAAGAAGAAAAACAAAAATAACGAAAGAACAGACAACGATAATAAATCAGGAGGAAAGAAGATGGGAAGAAGAGCTAATAAAAGCGATGAAGGGAGAAGAAATAATGAAGAGAATAAGGAAGACGACGAAGATAAAGAAGGGAATAAGGAAGATGATGAAACAGAAGAGAATAAGGAAGAAAATAAAGAAGGGAATAAGGAAGAAAATAAAAAAGGGAATAAGGAAGAAAATAAAGAAGGGAATAAGGAAGAAAAAGAAGGGAATAAGGAAGAAAATAAAGAAGGAAAAAAGGAAGTAAATAAAGAAGGTAATAAGGAAGAAAATAAAGAAGGGAATAAGGAAGAAAAAGAAGGGAATAAGGAAGAAAATAAAGAAGGGAATAAGGAAGAAAATAAAGAAGGGAATAAGGAGAACCCAGAGAAGAAGGAAGAGAAGAAAAAAACACAGAGAAGAAAGAATAAAGACAATTTATTCAGCGCAGACGAAAAAGGGAATAAAGAAACAGGCAATAAAGATGACAAACCAAAAAAACAAAGAAAAACGGGGAATAAAACGGGAGAGAAGAAGACAAAGGGCGATAACGGGGAAGGGAGAGACGACGATAAAGACAAAACAAGCAAGACAAGCCAAGACAAAGAAGAAAATGGAGAAGCAAAGAAGAGAGATGATAAAATAGATAAAGAAGAAAGTAGAAAGAAGAAGAAAGAAGGAAAGAAGAGAAATGAGAAGGAAGAGAAGAAGGAAAATAAAGAAAACGAGGAAGACAAGAAGGAAAATAAAGAAAACGAGGAAGACAAGAAGGAAAATAAAGAAAACGAGGAAGACAAGAAGGAAAATAAAGAAAACGAGGAAGACAAGAAGGAAAATAAAGAAAACGAGGAAGACAATAAGGAAAATAAAGAAAACGAGGAAGACAAGAAGGAAAATAAAGAAAACGAGGAAGACAAGAAGGAAAATAAAGAAAACGAGGAAGACAAGAAGGAAAATAAAGAAAACGAGGAAGACAATATGGAAAATAAAGAAAACGAGGAAGACAAGAAGGAAAATAAAGAAAACGAGGAAGACAAGAAGGAAAATAAAGAAAACGAGGAAGACAAGAAGGAAAACAAAGAAAACGAGGAAGACAAGAAGGAAAATGAAGAAAAAACTAATAACGAGAGACATAAAGAAGAGAAGAAAGAAGAAAATAAGGAAAACCTCGTAAGAAAGAAGAAAGAAGAAAACAAGAAGAAGGAAGTGAAACAGGTGAAGAAAAACGCGACAAAGAAAGAGGAAGACAAAACAACGGCCAATAACGAAGGAGAGGCAAAGAAAGGCGAAGAAAATCAAGAAAGAGAGGAAGAGAGAGAATGGATAACGAGGGAAGACAATAAGAGAATAATGGATGAAGGGAAGGAAGAAAATAGAAGAAAGAAGAAGAGAGAGAAAAACAATAAAGATGGAGAGAGAGAAAGCAATAAAGAGGAGGAAACAGGGAAGATAAGACAAGAAAACGGTAATAAAGAAACAGGGAAGACAAGACAAGAAAACGGTAATAAAGAAACAGGGAAGAGAAGACAAGAAAACGGGAATAAAGAAACAGGGAAGAGAAGACAAAACGGTAATAACGGAGAAGAAACAGGGAAGAGAAGACAAGAAAACGGTAATAAAGAAACAGGGAAGAGAAGGCAAAACGGTAATAACGGAGAAGAAACAGGGAAGAGAAGACAAAACGGTAATAACGGAGAAGAAACAGGGAAGAGAAGGCAAAACGGTAATAACGGAGAAGAAACTGGGAAAAGAAGACAAGAAAACGGTAATAACAGAGAGGAAACAGAGAAGAGAAGACAAGAAAACGGTAATAATGAAACAGGGAAGAGAAGACAAAACGGTAATAACGGAGAAGAAACAGGGAAGAGAAGACAAAACGGTAATAACGGAGAAGAAACTGGGAAAAGAAGACAAGAAAACGGTAACAACGGAGAGGAAACAGAGAAGAGAAGACAAGAAAACGGTAATAAAGAAACAGAGAAGAGAAGACAAGTAAACGGTAATAAGGGAGAGGAAACAGAGAAAACGGGGAATAAAGAAGATAATAAGCCAAAGGAGAATAAGAAGTGGAGAACGAAGGAAATAAGAGAAAAAGAAGAGAATAAAGAAGGAGATAAAGAAGAGAAAAGAAACTCAGGAAGAGAGAGACTAAAGGAAGAGGAAGAAGAGAAGGAAGAAGGAACAGAGGGAATAGCCATAAACGGGAATAAACAACGGGAGAACCAGCCAGGCAACGGAACGGATAATGGGAAAAAAAGAAACTGGAGCAACAGAAAACAAACACAGAATAAAGATAAGAGAAACAGAACAGTAAGAGAGAAAACAGAGAATAGAAAGAGAGACTCAGAAGAGAGAGAGAATAAAGAGAGAGACGAAGAGAACAGCGGACAACAGAGAGACGAAAGAGAAAAAACGGAAGAAAAACAGAGAAATACGAAAGAAGAAACGGAAGACGATAATAAAACACCTGGGAAAGATAACGGTGATAAAACAACGGTAAAACAGAGGAAGAATAAAGAAAATGAAGAAAACGGCGAATGGGAGGAAGAAAACGGGAATACAACGGTAAAACAGAATAAACAGAGATATTATAAGGAAATCGGGGAATGGGGAAAAGATAACAGCAATAAAACGGCAAAACAGAAGAATATACAGAAAAATATTGAAGATAACGGCAATAAAACGGTAAAACAGAATAATAAACAGAGACATATTAAAGAAAACGGCGAACGGGTGAAAGAAAACAGAAATAAAACGGCAAAACAGAAGAGCGAACAAAGGAAGAGTAAAGAAAATGAAAACGGCAATAAAACAAAGATAAAACAGAATAATAAACAGAAGAAGAATAAAGAAAACGGCGAACGGGAGAAAGCAAAACAGGAAGATAAACGGAGGAAACAGAGGAACGGGAATAGCAGAAGGAAGAGGAATGGCTTGTTTAAGAGACGTTGGGCGAAAAGAGGCGAGAGAAAAGATGCCATAGACCAAGTTTCGCGAACTATGGACAACTACGAACTGTCTAGCGGTCCAGAGACCGCAAATTACGACGTTTCACCCATTATGGGCCGCTACGAACCGTCTAGCGGTCCAGGGACCGCAAAAATTCCCTGTCCAGGACTATCAAAAATTCCCGATCCAGGGACCATAAAAATCCGCGGTCCAGCCTCGACCCCCGCCTCAGCACCGAAGACTGACACCTACCACCCGAGGAGCACTCAGGAGCAGCACCTGAGGACACCTAGGTGGTCGTCACAGCACCCGAGGACACTTAGGTGGTCGTCAGAGCACCTGCCTCCTGATCTTAGGTAAAGGGGTATTTTCACCGAATTTCAAACAGGGGAAAATCAGGACGTGGGAGAATCGGGACAGGGGGAATCAGGACTAGGGAAAAAAAATCAGGACAAGGGAAACAGGACAAGGGAATCGGGAAAAGGGGAGAATCAGGAAAGGGGGAGAAAAGGACGGGGAGAATCAGACAAGGAGAATCAGGACAAGGGAAAATCGGACGTGGGAAAAATCAGGAAAGGGGAGAATCAGAAAGGGAGAATCAGGAAAAGGGGGAAACCAGGACAAGGGAGAATCAGGCGGGGGGAAATCAGGAGGGGGGAAAATCAGGACAGGGGAGAATCGGGGAGGGGGTAAAACGGGACGGGGAAAACAGGAGGGAGAATCAGGGCAGGGAGAATCGGGAAGGGGGAAATCAGGCGGGAGAACCAGGAGGGGGAGAATCGGACGAATAATCAGGAGAAGGAGAATCGGGGACGGGGGAGAACAGGACGGGGAGAATCAGGACGGGGAGAATCAGGACGGGGGAAATCAGGAGGGGAAATCAGACGGGGACTCGGGAGGGGGAAATCAGGAGGGGAAATCAGGACAGGGAAAATCAGGACGGGGGAAAATCGGGAGGGAGAATCAGGACTGGGGAGAATCGGGCGGGGAGAATCGGGACGGGAGATCAGGACAGGGAGAATCGGGACGGGGGAATCGGACGGGGAAAATCAGGACGGGGAAATCGGAGGGGGGAGAATCAGGTAGGGAAAATCGGGCGGGTGAAATCAGGAGGGGGGAAAATCGGACGGGGAGAATCAGGACGGGGGAGAACGGGGACGGGAGAAAGGACGGGGAGAATGGGAGGGGGAGAATCAACGGGGGATTGTGGACGGGGAGAACAGGGAAAAGGGAAACGACAAAGAGAATAAAGAGGGGGAGAATGGACGGGGAGAACAGGAGGGGGAGAATCAGGACGGGGAAAATCAGGACGGGAAAAATCGGGACAGGGAGAATCCACGGGAGAATCAGGACGGGGAGAATCAGACGGGAAATCAGGACGGGAGGGGGAATCAGGCGGGAAAATCGGGGACGGGGGAATGGGAAAGGGGGAGAACGGGACAAGGGAAAATCAACTGGAGAATCAGGAAAAAGGGAGATCAGGAAAAGGGAGAATCGGGAAAGGAGAACAGGAAAGGAGAATCAGGGCAAGGGAGAACAGGACGGGGAAAAATCAGGACAGGGAGAATCAGGACACGGGAAAATCAGGACGGGGAAAGAATCAGGACGGGGAGAATCAGGACGAGAATAGGCGAGGTAATCAGACAGGAGAATCAACGAGAATCAGGACGGGGAGAATCAGACGGAAATCAGGAAACAAGGACGGAATCAGGAGGGGAGAATCAGGACGGGGAGAATGAGGACGGGAAAAAATCCAAGGCCCGGGGGAGCAACAGACGTAGGAGAGAATCAGGACGTTTCAACCCTCATATGGGGAGAACCAGTCTGGGAGATCAGGACACCGCAAAAACCCCCAGGACATCGGAAAAATTCCGACCAGGGATAAAATCCAGGACTGGGAGCATCAGGCCCGAGGAGAATCACGACCGGAGAATCAGGACAGCAAGAATCAGGAGGGGGAATCAGGACGGAAACCAGGAACAGGGTGTCAGGCCGGTGAATCGGAAGTAGGTATTTTCACTGAATTCATAACAGGGGAAATCAGGACGTGGAGAATCAGGACAAGGGGAATCAGGACTAGGGAGAATCAGGACAGGGAGAATCAGGACAAGGGAGAATCAGACAAGGGGAAATCAGGACAAGGAGAATCAGGACGGGGGAGAATCAGGACAAGGGAGAATCAGGACAAGGGAAAATCAGGACGTGGGAGAATCAGGACAAGGGAGAATCAGGACAAGGGAGAATCCAGGACAGGGAGAACCAGACAGGGAGAATCAGGGCAAGGGAGAATCAGGACGGGAAAATCAGACGGGGAGAATCAGGACGGGTAGAATCAGGACGGGGAGAATCAGGACGGAGAATCAGGGCGAGGGAGAATCAGGACAGGGAGAATCAGACGGGAGAACCAGGACGGGAGATCGGACGAAATCAGGACGGAAGGAGAATCAGGACGGGGAGAATCAGGACGGGGAGAATCAGGACGGGAGAATCAGGACGGGGAGAATCAGGACGGAGAGAATCAGGACGGGGAGATCAGACGGGGAGAATCAGGACGGGAGAATCAGGACAGGGAAAATCAGGACGGGAGAATCAGGACGGGAGAATCAGGACTGGGGAGAATCAGACGGGAGAATCAGGACGGGAGAATCAGACAGGGAGAATCAGGACGGGGGAGAATCAGGACGGGAAAATCAGGACAGGGAGAATCAGACGGGGGAGAATCAGGATAGGGAGAATCAGGGCGGTGAGAATCAGGACGGGGGAAAATCAGGACGGGGAGAATCAGGACGGGGAGAATCAGGACGGGGAGAACAGGACGGGAGAATCAGGACGGGGAGAATCAGGACGGGAGAGATTGTGACGGGGAGAATCAGGACACGGAGAATCAGACGGAAGAGAATAAAGACGGGAGAATCAGGACATGGAGAATCAGGAGGGGAGAATCAGGACAGGAGAATCAGACGGGGAGAATCGGCAGGGAGAATCAGCACGGGGAGAATCAGGACAGGAGAATCAGGACGGGAGAATCAGGACGGGAGAATCAGGACGGGGAGAATCAGGACGGGGAGAATCGGAACGGGGAGAATCAGACAGGGAAAATCAGGACGTGGGAGAATCAGGACAAGGGAGAATCAGGACAAGGGAGAATCAGGACAAGGGAGAACCAGGACAAGGGAGAATCAGGGCAAGGGAGAATCAGGACGGGGAAAATCAGGACAGGGGAGAATCAGGACACGGGAGAATCAGGACGGGGTAGAATCAGGACGGGGAGAATCAGGACGGAGAATCAGGGCGAGGGAGAATCAGGACAGGGAGAATCAGGACGGGAGAATCAGGACGGGGAGAATCAGGACGGATAATCAGGACGAAGGAGAATCAGGACGGGGGAGAATCAGGACGGGGAGAATCAGGACGGGGAGAATCAGGACGGGGGAGAATCAGGACGGGAGAGAATCAGGACGGGGAGACTCAGGACGGGGAGAATCAGGACGGGGAGAATCAGGACAGGGAAAATCAGGACGGCGGAGAATCAGGACGGGGAGAATCAGGACTGGGGAGAATCAGGACGGGGAGAATCAGGACGGGGAGAATCAGGACAGGAAGAATCAGGACGGGGGAATCAGGACGGGGAAAATCAGGACAGGGAGAATCAGGGCGGGTGAGAATCAGGACGGGGGAAAATCAGGACGGGGAGAATCAGGACGGGGGAGAATCAGGACGGGAAGAATCAGGAACGGGGAGAATCAGGACGGGGAGAATCAGGACGGGGAGATTCTGGACGGGGAGAATCAGGACAAGGAGAATCAGGACGGAAGAGAATAAAGACGGGGAGAATCAGGACAGGGAGAATCAGGAGGGGGAGAATCAGGACAGGGAGAATCAGGACGGGGAGAATCAGGACAGGGAGAATCAGCACGGGGAGAATCAGGACAGGGAGAATCAGGACGGGGAGAATCAGGACGGGAGAGAATCAGGACGGGGAGAATCAGGACGGGGAGAATCGGGACGGGGAGAATCAGGACGGGGAGAATCAGAGCAGGGAGAATCAGAACGGGGAGAATCAGGACAGGGAGAATCAGGACGGGGGAGAATCAGGACGGGGAGAATCAGGACGGGGAGAATCAGGACAGGGAGAATCATGACGCGGGAGAATCAGGACGGGGAGAATCAGGACGGCGGAGAATTAGGACGGGGAGAATCAGGACGAGGGTGAATCAAAACGGGGAGAATCAGGACGAGGAGAATCACGACAGGGAGAATCAGGACGGGGGAGAATCAAAACGGGGGAGAATCAGGACAGGGAGAATCAGGACAGGGAGAATCATGACGGGGGAGAATCAGGACGGGGAGAATCAGGACGGGGAGAAACAAGACGGGGAGAATCAGGACGGGGAGAATCATTACAGGGAGAATCAGGACGGGGGAGAATCAGGACGGGGAGAATCAGGACTGGGAGAATCAGGACGGGGAGAAACAGGACTGGGGAGAATCAGGACGGGGAGAATCAGGACAGGGAGAATCAGGAGGGGGAGAATCAGGAACGGGAGAATCAACACAGGGAGAATCAGGACGGGGAGAATCAGGACAGGGGAGAATCAGGACGGGGAGAATCAGGACGGGGAGAATCGTGACAGGGAGAATCAGGACGGGGAGAATCAGGACGGGGGAGAATCAGGAATGGGAGAAACAGGACGGGGAGAATCAGGACGGGGGAGAATCAGGACGGGGAGAATCAGAACAGGGAGAATCATTACAGGGAGAATCATGAAGTTGGAGAATCAGGACGGGGAGAATCAGGACAGGGGAGAATCAGGACGGGGTAGAATCAGGAAGGGGAGAATCAGGACGGAGAATCAGGGAGAAGGAGAATCAGGACGGGGAGAATCTGGACGGGGAGAATCAGGACGGGGAGAATCAGGACGGGGAGAATCAGGACGGGGAGAATCAGGACAGGGAGAATCAGGACGGGGAGAATCAGGACGGGGAGAATCAGGACGGGGGAGAATCAGGACGGGGAGAATCAGGACGGGGAAAATCAGGACGGGGAAAATAGGACGGGGAAATCAGGACGGTGGAGAATCAGAGGGGGGAAATCAGGACGGGGAGAATCAGGACGGGGAGAATCAGGAAGGGGAGAATAAAGACAGGGAGAATCAGGACGGGGAGAATCAGGACGGGGAGAATCGGGACGGGGAGAATCAGGACGGGGGAAAAATCAGGACGGGGAGAATTAGGACGGGGAGAATCAGGACAGGGAGAATCAGGACGGGGGAGAATTAGGACGGGGAGAATCAGGACGGGGAAAACCAGGACAGGGAGAATCAGGACGGGGAGAATCAGGACAGGGGAGAATCAGGACAGAGAGAATCAGGGCAGGTGAGACTCAGGACGGGGAGAATCAGGATGGGGAGAATCAGGATAGGGAGAATCAGGACGGGGGAGAATCAGGACGGGGAGAATCAGGACAGGGAGAATCAGGACCGGGAGAATCAGGGCGGGGGAGAATCAGGACCGGGAGAATCAGGACAGGGAGAATCATGACGGGGGAGAATCAGGACGGGTAGAATCAGGACGGGGGAGAATCAGAACGGGGAGAATCAGGACGAGGAGAATCAGGGCGGGGGAGAATCAGGACGGGGAGAATCAGGACGGATAATCAGGACGGGGGAGAATCAGGACGGGGAGAATCAGGACGGGGAGAATCAGGACGGGGGAGAATCAGGACGGGGGAGAATCAGGACGGGGAGAATCAGGACGGGGAGAATCAGGACGGGAGAAATCAGGACGGGGAGAATCGGGAAAGTAGGAGAATCAGACAGGGAGAATCAGGACGGGGGAGAATTAGGACGGGGAGAATTCAGGACGGGAAAATCAGAACAGGGAGAATCAGACGGGTGAGGAATCGGGATAGGGAGAATCAGGGCGGGGTGAATCAGGACGGGGAGAATCAGGAAGGGAGAATCAGGACGGGGGAGAATCAGGACAGGGAGAATCAGGACGGGGAGAATCAGGAGGGGGAGAATCAGGACGGGGAGAATCAGGACAGGGAGAATCAGGACAGGGAGAATCAGGACGGGGGAGAATCAGGACGGGGAGAATCAGGACGGGGGAGAATCAGGACGGGGAGAATCAGGAGGGGGAGAATCAGGACGGGGAGAATCAGGACGGGGAGAATCAGGACGGGGAATTCAGGACAAGGAGAATCAGGACGGAAGAGAATCGGGACGGGGAGAATCGGGACGGGGAGAATCAGGACGGGGAGAATCAGGACGGGGAAATCAGGACGGGGGAACAGGACGGGGAAAACAGACTAGGGAGAATCAGGCGGGGGAAAATCAGGACGGGGAAATCGGGACGGGGGGAGAACAGGAGGGGGAAAATCAGGGGGGGGAAAAATCAGGACGGGGAGAATCAGGACGGGGGAGAATCAGGACGGGGGGAATCAGGACGGGGAAATCAGACGGGGAAAATCAGGAAGGGGAATAAAGACAGGGAGAATCAGGCGGGGAGAATCAGACGGGGAAATCAGGACGGGGAAAACAGGACGGGGAGAACAGGACGGGGAGAATTTGGGGGGGGAAATAGGGGGAAAAACAGACGGGGAAAATTAGGAGGGGGAGAATCAGGAGGGGGAAAACCGGACAGGGAAATGACGGGAGAATCAGGACAGGGGAGAATCAGGCAGAGAGAATCAGGGCAGGTGAGACTCGGACGGGGAAAATTCAGGAGGGGGAGAATCAGGATAGGGAGAACAGACGGGGGAGAACAGGACGGGGAGAATCGGACAGGGAGAATCAGGACCGGGAGAAATCAGGGCGGGGGAAATCGGGACCGGAAAATTCGGGACAGGAGAATCATGAGGGGGGAAAATCGGAGGGTAGAATCGGGACGGGGGGAATCAGAAGGGGGAAAAACGGGGACGAGGAGTAGGGCGGGGGAGAATCAGGACGGGGAAATCAGGACGGATAATAACGGGGGAAAAATCAGGAGGGGGAAAGAATCGGAGGGGAAACAGGACGGGGAAAAAATCAGAGGGGGGAGAATCAGGGGGGGAGAATCAGATGGGGAAATCAGGAGGGGGGAGAATCAGGACGGGGAAACAGGTAGGAGAACGGGACGGGGAGAATCAGGAGGGGGGGAGAATTAGGACGGGGGAATCAGGACGGGAAAACGAACAGGAGAATCGGGACGGGGGAGAATCAGATGGGGAGAATGGGGCGGGGGTGAACGGGAGGGGAGAATCGGGACAGGGAGAATCGGAGGGGAGAATCGGGACAGGGGAATCAGGACGGGGGGACTCACGACGGGAAGAATCAGGACGGGGAGAATGGGACGGGGAGAATCGGGACTGGGGGAGAACGGGGGCGGGGGAAATCAGGACGGGGGAATCGGGAGGGGGGGACAATCAGGGGGGGAGAATCGGACGGGGGAAAACAGGAGGGGAGAATCGGGAGGGGGGAAAAATCAGGAGGGGGAAAAATCCAAAGAGAATCAGGGGGAAAGGAATGGAGGGGGAGAATCAGGACGGGGAGAACAACGGGAAAATCAGGAGGGGGAAATCGGATAGGGAAATCAGGACGGGGAGAATGGGACAGGGGGAATCGGACGGGAAGAATCGGGACGGGGGGAGAATCGGACGGGGAGATCAGGACAGGGAGAATCTACGGGGAAAATCGGGACGGGGAAAATCAGGAAGGGGGGGAAAAACGGCGGCGAATCGGGGACAGGGAAATCAGGAGGGGGAAATCAGGACGGGGGAGAATCAGGACGGGGAGAAAAAAAGGGGAGAATCGGACAGGGAGAATCATGATGGGGGGAATCAGGACGGGGAGAACAGGACGGGGAAATCGGCGGGGAAAAATCAAGGGAGAATCATTAAGGGAGAATCAGAACGGGGAGAATCAGGACTGGGGAGAATCAAGACGGGAGAACAGGACGGGAAAAATCAGGACAAGAGGTCGGGACGGGGAGAAAAAATACAGGGAGAACCAGGAGGGGGAGAAAAGGAGGGGGAAAATCATTACGGAAAATCAGCACGGGGAGAATCAGGCGGGGAGAATCAGGAGGGGGGAGAATCAGAACGGGGGAGAATCAGTACGGGGAAATCGGCGGGGAGAATCGGGACGGGAATCGGAGGGGGAGAATCAGAGCATTTAGAATCAGACAAGGAAAATCAGGACGGAGAATCAGGACGGGGAAAATCAACAGGAAAATCAGGAGGGGGGAGAATCAGGACAGGGCAGGGGGGGAAATCGGGACGGGGAAAAACAGGGGGGGGAGAATCAGGACAGGGAGAATCATGACGGGGGGGAATCGGGAGGGAAAAAATCAGGACGGGGTAGAATCAAACGGTTGAATCAGGACGAGGGAGAACAAGCGGGGAAACGGGACGAGGAGAATCATTTTCGGGGAGAATCATGACAGGGAGAAACAGAGGGGGGAGAACAGGACAGGGAAAACAAAGGGAGAATCTAAAGGGGGGAGAATCGGACGGGGAGAATCAGGACGGGGGAATCGGGACGGGAGAATCAAAACTGGAGAATCATTACAGGGAAAATCAGGACGGGGGAGAATCCGCGGGGAGAATCAACTGGGGAATCAGAGGGGGAAAATCGGACGGGGAGAACGGACAGGAGAATCAGGACGGGGGAGAATCAGGACAGGGAGAATCGGGAAAAGGGAAACGGAGGGGAGAACGGACGGGGGAGAATCAGGACGGGGGAATGAGAGGGGGAGAATCATTACAGGGAAATCAGGAGGGGGGGAAAATGGGACGGGGGGAATCGGGGACGGGGAAAATCAGACGGGGGAATCAGGACGGG